TTAATTTAAATTTTGTAATTAATTTGTATTTGTGTGTTCTTAATTGTCTAATTCTGAAAGTTTTAATAATTCTTTTTTAATTTATTGATTTCTTTCTCACTGAGAAAGGTATATACTTATTTAAAGTGGGGTGCACTTCCGAAAACCCCCCCCCTTCCGATTTTAATGAAACTTGGTATACTTACGTAATTTCATGCGCTGATCACGAAAATGATAGTGAAAATTACCGCAAATTTCATTTTTATGGTGAAAACGATAAAAAACACCATAAAATTATGGTTTTTTGCGTTTAACTCGTAAAAAACGCAAAATTAAAAAAAATCGTTCTTACAAAAGTTGTAGAGCTTCTAAAAATGAACATTTTATGTCCTATACATTTTTTACCAAAAGTCATTAGTTTTCGAGAAAAATGCAGAAACATGAAAAGCACACTACAAAAATTACTAATACCACGAAACTGGAATTCCTATAAAGATAGTTTTGAGAGATCGCACATTAAATTTGATTCGATTGAATATTATATTATTATGATATTATATTATATTATACATATATTATGTATATATAATATATAAGATGTCTTCCCCCCCTCCCCCCCTGGAAGTAGCTCTGCACAGCAAAGAATGCAGAGGCGGGCGAAGCGCGCCATCCCTAGTATCGTTGCTCTCTATCAAAACAGACAGTCAAATTCACATTCTTAATGGTACTGGAAGGTACGGAACCCACCCCGACCCCCCTCCTCCAAGATGTCTTCCCCCCCTCCCCCCTGGAAGTAGCCCTGCACAGCAAAGAATGCAGAGGCGGGCGAAGCCCGCCTTCCCTAGTATCGTTGCTCTCTATCAAAACAGACAGTCAAATTCACATTCTTAATGGTACTGGAAGGTACGGAACCCACCCCGACCCCCCTCCTCCAAGATGTCTTCCCCCCTCCCCCCCTGGAAGTAGCCCTGCACAGCAAAGAATGCAGAGGCGGGCGAAGCCCGCCTTCCCTAGTATCGTTGCTCTCTATCAAAACAGACAGTCAAATTCACATTCTTAATGGTACTGAAAGGTACGGAACCCACCCCGACCCCCCTCCTACAAGATGTCTTCCCCCCCTCCCCCCTGGAAGTAGCCCTGCACAGCAAAGAATGCAGAGGCGGGCGAAGCCCGCCTTCCCTTGTATCGTTGCTCTCTATCAAAACAGACAGTCAAATTCACATTCTTAATGGTACTGGAAGGTACGGAACCCACCCCGACCCCCCTCCTCCAAGATGTCTTCCCCCCCTCCCCCCTGGAAGTAGCCCTGCACAGCAAAGAATGCAGAGGCGGGCGAAGCCCGCCTTCCCTAGTATCGTTGCTCTCTATCAAAACAGACAGTCAAATTCACATTCTTAATGGTACTGGAAGGTACAGAACCCACCCCGACCCCCCTCCTCCAAGATGTCTTCCCCCCCCTCCCCCCCTGGAAGTAGCCCTGCACAGCAAAGAATGCAGAGGCGGGCGAAGCCCGCCTTCCCTAGTATCGTTGCTCTCTATCAAAACAGACAGTCAAATTCACATTCTTAATGGTACTGGAAGGTACGGAACCCACCCCGACCCCCCTCCTCCAAGATGTCTTCCCCCCCTCCCCCCCTGGAAGTAGCCCTGCACAGCAAAGAATGCAGAGGCGGGCGAAGCCCGCTTTCCCTAGTATCGTTGCTCTCTTTCAAAACAGACAGTCAAATTCACATTCTTAATGGTACTGGAAGGTACGGAACCCACCCCGACCCCCCTCCTCCAAGATGTCTTCCCCTAAAAGTTCTTTTGGAAATAGCCCTGCACAGCAAAGAGTAGAAGGTTTTTTATTAAAAGATATTGTCCGTCACATAAGACATCTGCCTCTTGTGGATAATAGCTAGAAGTTGGTGATTTTTACCGTTTTTAAATATTTTGCATTTTTCTCGAAAACTAATGACTTTTGGTAAAAAATGTATAGGACATAAAATGTTCATTTTTAGAAGCTCTACAACTTTTGTAAGAACGATTTTTTTAATTTTGCGTTTTTTACGAGTTAAACGCAAAAAACCATAATTTTATGGTGTTTTTTATGGTTTTCACCATAAAAATGAAATTTGCGGTAATTTTCACTATCATTTTCGTGATCAGCGCATGAAATTACGTAAGTATACCAAGTTTCATTAAAATCGGAAGGGGGGGGTTTTCGGAAGTTTTTAAGGATATTGAAGTATAATTTTTAATTACTTTTTCTAAATATTAACCAAAATATAAGACTAAATTTATTTTATTTTAATTTTGTTTTCTGATTTTTAATTTATTTATTTAAGAGATTCATTAATTTCTAATGATATATAAAAGTTAACTTTTTGAAATATAATTTTTTACATTGTTAGTTGAAGAAATTTTTTTTAATATTCTAAATTATTATTTTCCATTAGGTTTTTTTTGTAAAAAAAGAGTTGTATATTACAATATCTTTGTTTAAAATATATATAACATATATAATAAAAAAAATTTTATTAAAGTAAATAAAAAAATCCAAATAATTTGTATATTTTTAAATTAATTCTAATAAAAAATTTACAAAATATTTTCGCTTGACAATTAATGGGAAATAATAATAATAAATAGTTTAGTGAGGTTATTGTGAAAAAATTTCTCAGGTTACGTGTGAACTTTATATACAATGAGAACGTTAGATTCCTTGAATTAGATAATTTTTTCATTTCTATATATTAATCCTCATATATGTCCTCTAATATTTGTCAGTGTCTTGTGAACCTTCAAGCTTTTTACATCTTCATTAAATTACAAGTTAGTAGTGAAAGAAAAACTTTCTTTTCTTTACAATTATATGTGGTTAACAATTACTTTAAATTTTGTAATTAATTTTTATTTTTATGATCTTAATTGTCTAATTCAGAAAGTTTTAATAATTTTTTTAAAATCCATTGTTTTCTTTCTTAGTGGGAATGATATATACATATTTAAACTGTTTCAAAGTAAATTAATTAATTTTTGTTACTAAAATTTTACAATAAAATAAGAGAAAACTAATGTTAATTGTATTTGATCTATTATTAATTTATTATTTTTTTTACTTTAATTTATAAAAATCTAGAGATTGATTAATTTTAGAAAATAAAATAAAGATAACATTCTCAAATGTAATTTTATACAATGTTAGATCAGGATAATTATTTTTGAAATATTCTAATTCATTATTTTTGATTAGGTTTTTTTATTTAAAAGGTTTTTATTTAAAATTTAAAAATAGTTGAATATTGCAATATTTTCTTTTAATTATATATAAAATATTGTTTTTGTGTTCTTAGTTGTCTAATACAGAAAGTTTGAAGGATAAATAATCATAGTAATAAGTGTTTATAATGTTTAGGAAATAATCATGATTAATATTTTACTACAATAAAAAGTCTGTGTTGTAGATACATTTATGTACAATAGAGATAGTGATTTCTAACACTTTGATATTTTTTTTCTCATGTTTTGATGATTATGTATGTAAATATATATCTGTTTATCATAGTCACATTTGAAGAAGTTTGTCTATATTCTTTTGAGTTTAAAGTTTTGTAGAAGGGCAATAAATTTTTATTTACAATTGATTAACAGTAATAAAAATTTAGTTTGTTTTTTAGTCTTTTATAATTTTGTTCTTTTTTTGTTAATATTTCTAATACAAGTAAATTTTACTCATGCACAGGCTTCGCACTCAATACTTGATTTTAAAAAAGTAGCAAAAAGTAGCTTTCGCAAAATTGAATTGACTAAAAAAAGAGTTTTAGTCGATTCATAAAATTTTGATTCGTTATTTCCATGACTTTTTTCTCATTCCCAAAAAGAATATTAACATTTTTTCTTATCCTGATAATAACTTCAATTCTAAATGTTTCTCAAAATCAATTATTTTCCAAATTTTTAGATACTTAAAAATCCTACTTCAAAAATATGATTATAAAATTAATTTAATTAAAACTAATTTTTAAAAGTAAAAACTAAAATTTCAAAAATTAGAAAAAATTAAAAATTCAATTAAATATAACAAAATTTTTTAATTAACTGGTAATTTAATTTGATCTTTTTAAATTATTTACGGGGATTTAACAATCTTTAGTGAAAACTTAAATGCAAGTATTCAAAACATTAATTTCTTTCACCATTTCTAAATTAAATTATTCAAAACTTGAATAATTTTTATTAAATAAATTTATAAAACAGTTTTATTTAACTACTTCTAAAAGTAACAACTGTTATTCTTTCAAAATTCACTTATTTGTATTGAATTTTTAAATAAAATTATGCAAAATTTTAGTAACTTTCTTGGAAAATAATAAATATTATTTATAACAAATATTTAAATTAGTTTTACAACAATTACAATTTTCAAAGACGGACAATTTCAAATTTGATACACTTTTTAACAGTAATTGCATTTTTCGAGAAGTTTATTAGAAATTGTATTAAAAATAATTGAAATCGAGCAAAGAATTTTATAATTTTTGAAAACAATTGAATTTTTGCAACTAATTTTATTAATTATTAATATTTTAAAAAGTACTTGAATTCTTGAAACAAATTTTATTAATATTTTTGAAAATAATTGAATTCCTGGAATAAATTGTATTATTTATGAAATTAATTGAATTTTTACAACGAACTTTGTTAATATTTTAGACGATAATCTGAATCCAGCGAAGAATTTTATTATTTATGAAAACAATTGAATTCTTTCAATGAATTTTGTTAATATTTTAGAAAATAATAATTAAAATCCAGCGAAGAATTTTCAATATTTTAAAAATAATTGAATTTTTGTAACGAATCACAAATCTGAAAAAAGTATCCAAATAGTAGCAAATCGTAAAAAAGTAGTAAATAGTAGGTTTTAGTAGATGAGTGCGAAGCTTGCATGCAGTATAAATACTTAGTATAAATAATTTTTAGAAATATTACATTTATTATAATGTACATATCTATCTTTGTATATATGTATGTTTCAGGACAAAATGGAGTACACATCTTGTGAAGCTCTTGATGAAATTAGATTTTGGGACAGGACAGTGTAAGTTTAATAATAATTATAATTAATAATACAAATATTTTTTAAAGTTAATATAAATTGTAATAAATACAAAAAATAAATAATTGTAGAATACATAAATTTCATAATGATTTAAATAAAATAATAATTTTAATTCTAATTAAAAGCTTAAAAAATTGCGATTTCAATTATGCAATAATTAATTTTTTTAATTGTTAACTTATTTAAATTGTCTTAAAATCATAAAATGTTTTTGACAAAATAATTATGAAAAAAATATTTTTGTAGAGAATTGGTATCCTATGTGGAATTTGTACATCCCATCAAAACTACTGGAAAATCGGAATTATTCAAATTTTTTCTGAATAATGGTGGTGGCAAAACTATACAATGTGTCATTTGGGGTGAGCGAGACATCGACGCTCTGAAAGAGAAGATTCATGTTAATAAGGTGAATAATAATAATAATAAAAATAATAATAATAAAAATAATAATAATAATAATAATAATAATAATAAATAATAATAATATTAGGGAGCGTTCACAAATGATGTCATGTATTGAGGGGGAGGGGGGGGCTTTGCTAAACGTGACACAATGTATTTTTTCTATAAGAAAATATAGTAAAATAGCTTGACAGGGGGGGGTAGGGGTAAAAAAAGTTGAAAAATTGCGTGACATCATTTGTGAATGGTCCCTTAATAATAAATATTTTTTTAGATTCTGCACATTGATGGAGCTCTAGCTCGGGTACCAACGAGACCTGAATTTAACAAGGGCAATGTTAACTTTGAGTTGCAATTATTTGCAACTACTGAAGTTAATGTAGTAGGCGATTATGTACCAGATGTAGTCGAAGAAATTGAAATTGAAGAAGTCGAGTTATGTGATGCTATTCATCACGAAAATGAGTTAATTCGTAAGTACATGAAATACATTATTATTATTATTTGTATGCGGAACTAAATCAATGTAAATGTTTTTTTTCGATTTTGTTGAGTTTTTTCACTTGCATTTTTGACTTTTTATTTGTATGCGGAACTAAATCAATGTAAATGTTTTTTTTCGATTTTGTAGAGTTTTTTCACTTGCATTTTTGACTTTTTATTATACATTCTTTGTCCTTGTTAACCGCAAATATTTTTTTAAAAATCGAAAACATTGAAATATAAATTTTTTTACAACTTTCATAAAAAATGTAGAAATTGTAAATTATAATCTTAAAGAAAAATAAAAACAATTCAATCAGAATTAATTACCAAAAAACCAAAAAAATATTGAAAATTTAAATTTTTTAAATGTTAACAACTTTGTCTAATATTAACGAAATAAGTTCAAAAAAAGAAAACAAAAGATGCGTCTCAAAACGCGTTACAAAACTAATTGAGAGCATTAATGTTTGCAAAGAAAGACACATAGAGAGTGAGATTTTTTAAAAATGATTTTTGACTTCCTGAAGTCAGGAAACGTAAAGTAATGTAAAAAAATGAAGTTTGAAAATTTTAGGCAAAACAATGCTTTCAGGAGGAAGCAATAATATGAAGAATATGCAACTTGCTTCATTTTATTTTTTAAATTTACATTAAAATTATGAACACTTTTTTCAAATTACTTTTTTTTCTTTTATTATAATTGTAAGGAAATTATTGTGTTTTATTTTATCTTTGCAGAAATCAATTCCTACATCAAAACTAAGTTTGTTTATCAGTCAGTTGGTGTAAATAAAAACTTAGGGACCTACGGTTGTGGCTCTCTTACTGACGGAGAGTTTAAAATCGAAGTTAGAATAAACGATTTCAAAAACAATTTAAATTTTCAAAAAGGCTCTGCTGTAGCTGTAACTGGAAGAATCCATACACAAGGTAATTATATTTAATTAAATAAAGAAAAGAATGAATATCGTAAACATTATAAATAAATAAATTTTATCATATTTTTATCATCAAAATATTAATTGGGATTTTATCAATATTTCTATTAATAAATGATTGTAATAAATTTTTTGAGAATTATAAATATAAAAATTATTTGTTTTCAGGGCCTAGAATTTTTTTACAAGTCGATGACGAAAGTAATATTCAATCCAGAGAAGTAATTCCACTCCCTTTAGCGGATGTTTTGCTGGGATATAGAGAGTTGAAGCGCATAAATGATGGCCAATTGCGGAGAGAAGATGTTGATTAAAAAAAGTTTATGAAGTTCTTAGTTCCAGAAAATTGATGCATAATACATTTTATATTAAGTGACCATTAAGATGTAAAAATAAGTAGGTAAAAAATGACTAAATTTATTTACTAAAAAATTTTTCTTTTAAGATTTTTATTTCGGTTTACTATTTCTTTATTATTAATTAATTTGTTTATTAATTAATAATTTTTGTCTGCCAATAATTTCCTGTTTTGTTTAAAAAAATTATGATTAATTTTTTTATTAATATTGGTACATCTAATTGGTAAATTAACATCGAAGATTTGTAAAAATAATACATTTTTTTCCATTTAAATAATTATATCTTAAATTGTATTACGCATCTTACCAAAAATTTTCGATTAATGTTCAATTATATCTAACTATATAATCTAACTATATAATCTAATTATTTCAGAGAATTCCGAAATCTGAATTCCATTAATTTAGTTTTTATTTCAAGGTGAATTTTGAATGTCTTTTGCACAAAATTGACTTATTAATTTTTGTCATTTCGAATTATTATTAAAATTTTTAAAATTAATTTTGTTTTGTAATAATACATTGATTCTAAACAATGAACAATATACGTTTTGTTAAATTATAATGTAAAATAAATTTAGTTCAAATTGAAATTCATTGTTTTATAAACGAAATTTCAGAATTCTCTGAATAAATTCTTATTGAAACTGACTGAATGTTACTTAAAATGTGATATCATATATAATATTTGTAATTAACAAATTTTATATAATTTTTGTGATAATTAAAATAATTTACTTAAGTTTTCTCTGAATTATTTACTAAACAATTATCAATCATCAACAAGATATATCCCTGAATGTGATGTTAAAACATGCCATATGGGTCCAGTTTTAAATACAAGTAATTTGGTATTTTAACCCAGGCTAATCTATATTTTCTTCCGGTATTTAAAAATTTTTCTAATTAAACTTACATTTTTGAGTTCATTTTATGAACATTTTGCTCAATTCATGGACTTAAGAATATATGGACGGAGCACGTTCTGGCAAAAGTGGATAAGGGGGATAAATTATCTGAAGGGGAGAGTAGTGGTAGTCGGCCATATTTGTCGGAGAACATTTTCTGGTCTGTGATTGGTTTAGGCGCTGATTGGCTATTAAGCATAAGGCGCTTAGTTTAAATGGAATAATCACAAGTTCATTCTTATCTAATTGTATATAATAATAATATAATAATAATATAATAATAATATAATAATAATATAATAATAATATAATAATAATATAATAATAATATAATAATAATATAATAATAATATATCTAATTGTAAATAATACACTCCACATATTCACACTTTTCGACGATTTCAACGTCAACTAATCACAACCAAACAATATTTTCCCCGACCAATATGGCCGCGATATATTAGATCCCCCTTCCGTCTCAGGACGCACGCCCCGCAAGATAATGCTCCGTCCATATATTCTTACGTCCATGGCTCAATTGTAAAAATTTAAATGAACGTAGTTTGAATATATTTCTTGCCAAGAAACCAGACAGTTACTCTCCAGGCGGCGTCGTTATTCAATGTTTTCAGATCAATTTTCGCAGCATCCACTTTTTTATTACATTGCAATATATTTCGATAAAAATTTACAATCTTATCTAATTCAAAAATTAATTAATAATTTAATATTATTATTATATTAATATTATTTAATATTATGAAATATTAAGAAATTAAATTGAAAATAAATTTAGGAAAGAATTTAAAATCGTCGGAATATTGACAACGAAATTTGAGGAAAACTAAATTTCAAGAATAATAAAATTATATTTATCACTCGGTCGCCTTAGTTAAAAGATGAAAATTGAGTTAAACGATCACTCGTTATACCTGAAAAATGATGTTTATACTATACTATACTATACTATACTATACTATACTATACTATACTATACTATACTATACTATACTATACTATACTATACTATACTATACTATACTATACTATACTATACTATACTATACTATACTATACTATACTATACTATACTATACTATACTATACTATACTATACTATACTATACTATACTATACTATACTATACTATACTATACTATACTATACTATACTATACTATACTATACTATACTATACTATACTATACTATACTATACTATACTATACTATACTATACTATACTATACTATACTATACTATACTATACTATACTATACTATACTATACTATACTATACTATACTATACTATACTATACTATACTATACTATACTATACTATACTATACTATACTATACTATACTATACTATACTATACTATACTATACTATACTATACTATACTATACTATACTATACTATACTATACTATACTATACTATACTATACTATACTATACTATACTATACTATACTATACTATACTATACTATACTATACTATACTATACTATACTATACTATACTATACTATACTATACTATACTATACTATACTATACTATACTATACTATACTATACTATACTATACTATACTATACTATACTATACTATACTATACTATACTATACTATACTATACTATACTATACTATACTATACTATACTATACTATACTATACTATACTATACTATACTATACTATACTATACTATACTATACTATACTATACTATACTATACTATACTATACTATACTATACTATACTATACTATACTATACTATACTATACTATACTATACTATACTATACTATACTATACTATACTATACTATACTATACTATACTATACTATACTATACTATACTATACTATACTATACTATACTATACTATACTATACTATACTATACTATACTATACTATACTATACTATACTATACTATACTATACTATACTATACTATACTATACTATACTATACTATACTATACTATACTATACTATACTATACTATACTATACTATACTATACTATACTATACTATACTATACTATACTATACTATACTATACTATACTATACTATACTATACTATACTATACTATACTATACTATACTATACTATACTATACTATACTATACTATACTATACTATACTATACTATACTATACTATACTATACTATACTATACTATACTATACTATACTATACTATACTATACTATACTATACTATACTATACTATACTATACTATACTATACTATACTATACTATACTATACTATACTATACTATACTATACTATACTATACTATACTATACTATACTATACTATACTATACTATACTATACTATACTATACTATACTATACTATACTATACTATACTATACTATACTATACTATACTATACTATACTATACTATACTATACTATACTATACTATACTATACTATACTATACTATACTATACTATACTATACTATACTATACTATACTATACTATACTATACTATACTATACTATACTATACTATACTATACTATACTATACTATACTATACTATACTATACTATACTATACTATACTATACTATACTATACTATACTATACTATACTATACTATACTATACTATACTATACTATACTATACTATACTATACTATACTATACTATACTATACTATACTATACTATACTATACTATACTATACTATACTATACTATACTATACTATACTATACTATACTATACTATACTATACTATACTAGACTAGACTAGACTAGACTAGACTAGACTAGACTAGACTAGACTATACTATACTATACTATACTATACTATACTATACTATACTATACTATACTATACTATACTATACTATACTATACTATACTATACTATACTATACTATACTATACTATACTAGACTAGACTAGACTAGACTATACTATACTATACTATACTATACTATACTATACTATACTATACTATACTATACTATACTATACTATACTATACTATACTATACTATACTATACTATACTATACTATACTATACTATACTATACTATACTATACTATACTATACTATACTATACTATACTATACTATACTATACTATACTATACTATACTATACTATACTATACTATACTATACTATACTATACTATACTATACTATACTATACTATACTATACTATACTATACTATACTATACTATACTATACTATACTATACTATACTATACTATACTATACTATACTATACTATACTATACTATACTATACTATACTATACTATACTATACTATACTATACTATACTATACTATACTATACTATACTATACTATACTATACTATACTATACTATACTATACTATACTATACTATACTATACTATACTATACTATACTATACTATACTATACTATACTATACTATACTATACTATACTATACTATACTATACTATACTATACTATACTATACTATACTATACTATACTATACTATACTATACTATACTATACTATACTATACTATACTATACTATACTATACTATACTATACTATACTATACTATACTATACTATACTATACTATACTATACTATACTATACTATACTATACTATACTATACTATACTATACTATACTATACTATACTATACTATACTATACTATACTATACTATACTATACTATACTATACTATACTATACTATACTATACTATACTATACTATACTATACTATACTATACTATACTATACTATACTATACTATACTATACTATACTATACTATACTATACTATACTATACTATACTATACTATACTATACTATACTATACTATACTATACTATACTATACTATACTATACTATACTATACTATACTATACTATACTATACTATACTATACTATACTATACTATACTATACTATACTATACTATACTATACTATACTATACTATACTATACTATACTATACTATACTATACTATACTATACTATACTATACTATACTATACTATACTATACTATACTATACTATACTATACTATACTATACTATACTATACTATACTATACTATACTATACTATACTATACTATACTATACTATACTATACTATACTATTTTGTGCGGGGTCCTTTAAAGTGAAGTGAAGAGAAATTACAGAATAGCACACCGGATCAGTATTTATATTTTGTATAAGTGTTTGAAATTT